CCCCAAATACATTACAAGCCCAACCCGGATACATCAGGCCCAACAGTGACCCAAACATGGTGGCCCAGATCCAGATGGCCTAGGTAAACCTTAAAACTAGATTAGGGTTCCCATCTCAATACCCTAGCTGCCTCAGCATCACAGCCGTTGGATATGAGAGATCTAACGGTCTACAGGAGGTCCAGCATGATGCAGCTAGGATTTCTAAACCCTAGCTTCTACGCCGCCGCCGTCTCAGCTATCTCCAAGCTTCTAACCGCCACGCCTCTGCCAGGTGGTCCAACGCCTACTACCGACACTACAGTACCACGCCACCTCGTTGTTGAAGACTCCAGAAGAGCCAGTTGCACCCCCACATCGCAGCTACAAGGTGAGTCACCACTATAGTATGGTGACTCACCGAGAAAGCCCTCTGAGACCAGTCCAAAGACAGCTCGGTGGTGGCCTATAAATATGGCCACCGAACCTGCAAAAGGGAAGAGATGACGACATAACCCAGCAAAACACGGACAGCAACCAACGAAGAACAACAGGAAGAAGATACGAACAAGAAACAAGCAGTAAGCACAACCATAACAACACCGACGACAGAAAGTAACGAAAAACAACCGAGAGAACAGTGAAGAGACTTACCAAGCGTCGTCGGAAGCCAAATCGACGTCGAACCACAATTGGTTCGAAGGTAAAAATTGTAGATCTACGGTATTAAGAGGTGTTTTTGGTAAAAACAATGTTAGATTTGGATTCGCGTTGAAAAGAGGGTTATTTTGGGTAACTTGGTAATTTCCGGCCACCGTGCGTGGTGGTCGACGGTCGGCCATCACCACCGGAGTACGGCTACCGGCCGGAGATGTTTTAGAGAGAATGCAGAGAAAAAAATTCTTCTTTCAATTAGAGAGAGAAGAAGAAAGGAAAAAAATGAGGGAAATGACCTTAAGGCCAGCCATTATAGGGTATTTATACCCCTTCCCAAACGACGTCGTTTTGGGAAGGGTGTATCTGTAATTTCATAAAATGGGTAAATCATACGCGCAGCCATTGAAGTTTTGCAAACTTTTATTTTAGTCATTACAGTATGTTTTCGTGCATTTTAATTTTTTTTGTAATTTTGTTTTATTTATATTTTAGTCACTATTTAGTATTAATAAATATTTAGGGTAAAACAACCTATTAAGTCCCTTATAGTTTTAGTATTTTTTTATTGTAATCCTATATTAATTTTTTATGGCTAAATTACAGTGTTAATATTTATATTTTATGATATTATTAATTATGTCAATTAATTTTTGATATTTTATAAATTAATCACTAATTTTTATAATGTTCAATTTTGACTATGAATTTTATATATTTATGAATATGATTTAATTGCTTTAATTTCAATTATTTTTTTATTTAAAAATTTTCTCAAATTTATTGTAAATTAGCTATTCATGATTAATTTGCCTTTAATGTTTCATTTTCCTTAATTACTTGTAATCTTAATATTTGTGTCTTTGACTTTATTTCTTATTTTAATTTTCTTTCCATTTATTTATAATTGGTATATTAAATTTACTTTCCATTCTATCCATTTTTAAACATAATAGAAATTAATACTATTTGACTTTATTATATAGATATTAATTAAATATAAATTTCTTTTAGTATTTATTCTATTAATTCGTTTGCCTTTCTTATATTTATCCATGGTATTTTATTATTAATATAACATTAAGTGTGTTGATACTATATTTTCAATTTCTTTTTATTTTAATCATTATTTAATTACAATTTTATTTTATTTTTATTACTTTCAATATGTTTAAATTATTACTTTAATTATTATTTTATTATTATTCATATTAGTCATATAAATATATATAATAAATAATATTTATTTTTTTAAAAAAATACTATTTATAAATTTAATTTTATATAAATTACTTTTAGGAAAAATAATCATATTTTAATATTAAGAAATAGACTGCCTTAAAGCACCTAGAAGTCCTTTTCTGATATTCTTAAATAAATAAATATCCTTTTTTTTTATAAATTATATACTAATTTATTTTAATTATTTTTAGAGAAATGTTTTATTAATATTTATTTATTTTTTTAATATTAAGAAATGGGTTGTCTTAAAGCACCTAGAAGTCATTTTCTAATATTCTTAAATAAATAAATATCCTATTTTTATTTATTATTTTAAGAGAAATGTTTTATTAATATTTATTTATTTTTTTAATATTAAGAAATGGGCTGTCTTAAAGCACCTAGAAGTCATTTTCTAATATTCTTAAATAAATAAATATCCTTCCCCAAACGTAATCGTCCACGAATCCCTTTTTATTATGAAAAAAACAAATTTTGGTTAAACGTATACCAGTTTTTCTTTTAAAATGGTATTTTCTTAAAACTATTTTAAAAGATGATTTTCAGGTATTCGATCTACCTAATTCAAAAGGTCAATGGCGACTCCAAAACATTTCTTTAAACAAGCCATTAATTTATTCACATTATTTTTCCCGCCAAGTAAAATTTCGTGCCCGGACGAAAACTGGTTACGACACATCTGATTAAAACTTTATTCTATTTTGATGTCTTGAAACACAAGTATCACTGATGGCCTATAGGATAAGGAACACAGTTTTTCTGTATCTGTAAGATTTGCATATCCGTAATGAAACTCTAATAAGAAAAGGAGGATCCGTGAGTACGAGTTAAGTTGAGGTCGAAATGAACATATCAGACTGAACACAGTGGTTTTTATGTTTGAACACTGCGTGGTAATAATAAAAAATCATAATTGTTAAAGTAAAATGAATCAAATATGTAAACAATGGTGTATATATATATATATATATTTCAAATCTCCCAAACAGGGGACCAAAATTGATGTGCATATGTTCCCTCAAGATTCATGTTATCTTTTTTATGTACGATGAAAGCGAACTAATTTGGCCAAAATGCTTTTAGAGACCCTATGATTTAAAAGGTTGATGATGCGATTTTGTGTAATTTCTTTTTATCTTGAAACATTATATAATTCCTTTGTACTTTCTCCCGTGATTCATACATCATATATATTAAGCATAATTTATGGTCAGCAACCTACTACAATGGTCCATAACATTGACAATTACATAGCAAAGAAGCCATATATATATATATACATTCACAAATGGATTTCATTAATAAAAAATAATTGAATGAATCAAAATTATAACACATTCAAAAAGAAAATTGGAGACGATAGTCATCAAAAGACGCATACATAAAACAAAAATATTAAACTTAAAGTACGAAGAAAAACATAACCTTACATTGAGAATGACGTCCAACATCAAAAGAATCCAATAACTATTATAAAATTTATTGTCTCTGTCGAACGAGATATTTGACAAAGTGATAAATGAGTGGTGAGCGATCCAAACAATTTGGCAGACTATTTTGCTACACAATTATGATTATATAAGCAAACAAAATTTTACCAAAGAGAAGATCTGACGATACATGACTACCAACAAACCAATCAAAAAATAAATTTCGTAAAGATCTTTGTGCGAGCACCAACATGACTGTAAAGTTATACGAAAAGATCAAAGAAAAATGTGACATAAAATCAAAAAAAGAAAACATGTCACAAAGATAACAATTTTTAGTTAAAATTAAAAAAAAACTCAAGAAAAAAAGAAAAGAAAATATATGACATAGTATTAAAAAGAACAAAAAAAAATCATCGGTGACCAATAATCAATATTAAGATTAATATCATCACAAGCTAAACAAAAATAAAAAAAAAAGAAAGAAAATGATGACAAAAATATCAAGAGAAAATTTAAGTTAGGGAGAAAAAAACTTATATTCCTGACGTGGCATACTATAATGATATTAATGGTATATAATTATCATTGTGATACTATAATGATGTCACATGGTATTTTAAAAAAAGTGTTTTTTTTTATTTTAAAATATTAAAAATATTTGTTTCAAAATTCTAAAAAATATTTAAAAATTAAAAGTTATTCAAATTATTTTTTGAGTTTGATAACTTAATTGAGTGTAAAAAACATTATGGAGGTTAATAATATTTTTAGAAAGAGGTTCATAGATTTTTCGTATTCTTAAGTTAAAATAATTTAATTATCAAGTTAAGAATATAATTTGAGTAAAATTGTCAATTAAATATTTTTATATTATTTCATCATAATAATTAAAATTGAGGAATATTTTATTTCAAAATATAATATTTAAATAGATCGGTCCGCACATTGAACAATGTCTGTTTACAGGTCCAATTCAAGCAACTAGGAAACAAAATTTAGAGAACAATATTTAAGTAATAATTATTTAAATTTTATATAGTGTACCCGATGGGCTCGTTATACATCCAATCTCACGCAAATAGATTTAATATTTGTAATTTTTAAAAAAGAAATTTAATGAATTAGTTTATATAATCATTTGTTAGTCGATTACTACTTTTTCTTTTCTTCGGCAAAATATTTACCCTATCCAGATAGTATATTTAATGGGTTTTTTTTAAAAAAAAAAGCTTAAAACCACATTCTTTATTGACTTTTGAAGGAAAAGTGAAATATTATTTTAATTGAATTAGTATAAATCAACGGCTGATCCAAAAAAATAGTGGATACATAGGTAATAATATAAAATTTTTAAATGGGATATGTACAAATAAAATTTTAGGTGAATACCGTCCTTAAAATAAGTAATAAATTGAAAAAAAAATCAGATTTCATAATGGACACGAAAAATTTTAAGATAAATAGTATCAATAAAATAAATAACTAATTGAAAAAATTGACATCACTAAACCGCCCCTAAGTATTAAATCATAACTAAATTATTTTATTTTATTTGATATGGAAGAGTACGACTTTGATCACATACGAGATGAAACTCAAATGAAAGCAAGGCAGAGAGTTTGCAGGATGAAACTAGATACATACCAACTAGTCCTTATTTAAAGCACACAAATACATTTTATGGTGGTGGTGCTTAGAATTGATTAAAACGTGGCCTAGGGTGACAAACAAGTGGACGAGCCATTTCTGTAGCGAACCCTGGCCCTGGGCTCAGATCAACCCTCTCACCACCCTTCACTTCCCACTCGAAACATTGAACCAAAGACCCCACTGCTGCATGCATCACCAACATGGCAAGTGAGGCTCCGGGGCAACCTCTTCGCCCGCTCCCGAACGGAAGGAACCGAAAGTTCTGACCCTTGAACTCCATTTGATGCTCTCCGATCTTCTCGTCGGAGCTTCCTAGGAACCTTTCAGGGTCGAATTCATTAGGGTTGGCCCATGAATGAGGGTCCCTCATGACAGCGTACACATTCACTATTACTCGGGTCTTAGACTTCACCAAGAATCCATTTACATTGCAATCTTCACCACATTCCCTAATGATCAATGGAGCTGAAGGATGAAGCCTTAGAGTCTCTCTTATGACAGCTCGGAGATACGGAAGGTTCGGGATGTCGGATTCTTTGACAACCCTGTCCGGCCTGACAACCGAATCGATCTCCTCTCTAAGCTTCTTCAAGGCTTTTGGTTTGTTGATGAGCTCACCCATTGCCCATTGCATCGCCGACGACGATGTATCGGTACCGGCCATGAAAATATCCTTTTATTCCACAGTAAACATCAATTAGATAATAAATTGATTTCCCCAACTAACTAGCATATAGCAACTGATGAAAACTACAACTTACCAGCAAGAAAGACTTGATGTCCTTCATGGAAATCTTGATTTCAGCAGTTGGATCTCTGTAAACCTCCAACAAAATATCCAACAAATCCATCTTTTGATTCACATCAAAACCTTCACTTACCTTCTCTTGATGTTCCTTAATTATCCTCTCCACCAACTTATCATACTTCAACAAAGCAGCCTTAAGCTTTTTCCCATTCCCAGAGAAATCAAGTACTTTCAGAGGACCCATAACATCTCCAACGCTAATCTTCCCTGAAAGCTTCAAACATGTATGAATAAGCTCCTTAATCTCATCGGCATCGTTATCGTTTCCCGAACATCGTGTACTCATCGCCATTCTACATATGGTATTGTTGGTCAGAGTCGTGAACTCGCTGCTCAAATCACAGCTCTTTCCTTGTTTGCAACAGTTCATCACGGATTCAACCAGATTGAGCTTCTCTTGGTCTCGGATATCGGCGAACTTGTCCAGCTGAGGCACCGCCAACAGCCTTGTCATGCAGAGTTTCTTCATGAAACGCCAGTAGTCACCGTATTGAGCCAAAACGAACCTCGAGCCTCTATAAATGAAGTACTCCGAGGAACCGAATTCGGGCCTGGAACAAAAATTGAGCTCTTGGGTTCTGAAGATTTCTTTTGCAACGTCGGCGTTGGATACAACGAGGCAGGCTGATGCACCGAGGCGGATCCCCATGAGAGGGCCATAGCGTCGAGCCAGGTCCTGGAAAGATTTTGGTAGGACAGAGGTGACCAGATGGAGGTGGCCTATGAAAGGGAGAGCGGGTGGGCTCGGTGGCTCGGGGATTGTGGTTCGAGCAGGCTTCAGAATTTTTTTTATGAAAGAATGGACCATCACAACAGTGATGAACCAAATCAAATACTGAAAGTAGTGAATGTCTAGGGAAACCGATGCCATGGCCAGTTGGAGAAGAAGGGATGCTTCTCTTTACTTGGGGATGCTAAATGGTTGCCTTTTAACATGCTTTTATAGACATTCTTTCTCTCATTTTTTTCTTTCTTTTAATAAGAAATATACAAATATATTCATAAAGAAACATAATATATTTGTATATATGTCCAGTAATTGGCAGGATGAAGAAAAGAAACAAAGAAGTAATTGAAGAAAAGAGAAGAAGAAAAAGGAGTAATTGAAAAATTATCCCTAAAATATTTTTGATTTAAAAAAAGACATAATTAATATTTTACTTAAAGTTCAAGGGTTAAAATAAAATTTAATCCTTTTATTAACGTGCCAAGTAATCAATCTATTAATGGTTTAATGACCGTTAAAGTCTTAATAACTAAATATTTAAAGGTGGATATATTAAGTGACCATAAATTAATTAAAATGAAACAAAAGTGACCATGCATTAACTTTTTTTTTTCTGAAATGAGTTAGCATACTTTTATAAAAATGAAACAAAAGTTACCAACTCTATAGTTTACCCTAAAATTTAAAGATGTGAAATTATAAAATTTCAATAAAATTTTATGAAATGTAAAATTAGATTATAAATAGAAAATAAAGAAAATACTTAAACTATAAAAGAATTTAAAAAATTTAGATGTAGAATCACACCCAGTATCCCTTAATTCATCTCTAAATATATTTTATTAACTATTTTAATTTCTAATGCATGAAATTTAAGATGTGACATAGTATTGTTGAATGCTTAAAGAATTAAGAGAATCTTTCACTCATGATTTTGCTTCCTGCACAGACAAACATGGGATTGAGACTTGAGGAGAGGTCAGGGGACCACAGGGGATGGTCCATATTTGGTGGCAAATAAATTAAAATAGAAACGTTGGCATTCTTTACCTGGAATATATTCATATTTGGACTTTGCTGTGGCATTTTAATGGATATTGATGTTGTTATTTAAGACCTTAAATTATATTAAGCAACTACATTCGGTTGTATAATCAAGTTATCCATCTTTATTTTCTTATATGTTTTTAAATTATGAGTTTCAGAAAAACTTCATTTCTTTCCTCTAGTGTTTCTCCTTCTCCTTCCTCTCTAGAATAAGATTAGAATTAGATTTAGAATATATCAAAACCTTAAACCATATTATATAACTGCTTTTACTCCCTAATCAAGACCATTATTTATGTACTATATTATATGTATTAATTAAATGTTTTCATTTAAGTTTTCCAATCAATAATTCAAATCGGCAAGGACCATGTAATAATTTTAGAAATTTCGTTTTCCAAAGTAGTATAATAGAAATCACAAAAACTTTGGGACAAAATATGCTCAATTATCGGGCTTTTTTACCCTAATATATGTGAGAAAGGTGTCATTAATGACATGGAACGAAGAACGACCTATGGTCGAAGTGTGGGAAGAAGTGAAGAGAGGCGGTGGTTATATTTGGAATTTAGTTTACAAACAGAGACTGAAAATATAAGATGAATTTAGTTTACAAACAGAGACTGAAAATATAAGATGAAAATATAAGAACGACCAATCATTTTCTTCCTTCTACTTCTTTCACAAAGCACTTATTACAAACATTTCATTAAATCGTCGTTCTTCTTTACTTAATTGAATACCACAGTAAGTTGGTTTGCAGACTTTATCTTTCTTCTTCAACACAATGTTTATACAGAAATCTTTCAAACTTATTTTCTTCATCAAATTTGTCTTTCTTCTCACTTATTGGGACTTTCTTTTTAGGTGGAAGCAAGGCGGTTAAGCTTCAAACTTCCAGGTACAATCCGAAGCCTCTCTTGGGCAAGAAGACACCCTATTTTACCTGGTTAAAGAGATGAATGGCCAATGGCCGAAGTGGATAAAAGAAATGAAGTGCGGCTAAGATTAGTGATGATGAAGAAATGCTAAGAAAAAAAAGAGATTATGATATTATTAGGATTGTGATCAAATTTACAATCTAATTGTGCAGCCCGATTACAATTGTTGGGTTTATATAACCCATATCCTTAACAAATTACCAACAAACTAATTAGTTGGAAAACTAATTACTATTGATCTTCTAACATTCTCCCTGCTTCCCCATGTTATTGATCTTGTTTTGTAGTTGATTCTCAACAGATGACGACAACAAAGCGATGCAAACATAAACAGTAACTCCCATACTTGATTTGGCAAGAAAATTACATCTTCTTTCTTTCCATTGTGCTTATTCTTCAATATTACTCAGACTTCCTTAGTATTCATTCAGAGTTTCTTTCTTCAATATTCTTCTTTGTTAATTATTTGGACTTTCTTCCTACTTTCTTAACCTTCTTAATCTTCGAAACTTGATCTCTAGAACTTTGATGGTTCACGAGCAAAACGAACAAAACAAAGATGAAAACATTTCATTTTTTTATCTTTCATACAATTTCCTTTTATTCATCATCACTGTATTTCTGTCCACTTATTGGGACTTTCTTTTTGGTGGGAGCAATGTAGTTAAGCTTAGAGCTCTCGAGTACAATCTGAAGCCTCTTTTAGACAAGAAGACAACCTAATTTGTCTGGTAAGGAGAGTAAGGTTGTTAAACTCTCGACTCTCCCCAAATATTTTCTTTCATGGACATTTAGTCGTTAAGCTATCAAGTTCCATTGGCATTATACCTTGTGATAAAAGCAGCAAGCGATGAACAACTAGTATCTTGGAATCTTGGCAATTGGCATATCTCCAAATGATAGTTCATTGCATCATGAGGCTCATTTCCACTAATAAAACCTCAACAATATCCAAATATTTGCATCAAGAATAACCAATGAACAAACCAAACCAAAAAAAAAAAAAACCTCATTCGAATCTATAAGAAGCAATAAGTGAACCTTCGACTCTTGCTGAAGTCAACCAATATTCACCATGTAACAGAGGTTAGCAACCATTACAGATTCAAAACAATAGCAAACAACAACCATTAAACTAACCATACCCAGGGCGATGAACAATAGCAAACTATCCTCAAAAGTAACAGACTAGCGAACAAATCTGATATATCACCATCATCAACCAAATGTACCACGAGTAGAACAAAATAAAACCGACGAAATCAAGAAACATATAGCATAAGCTTTAAATTCACTGATTTATAGCACCAAAACCAGAGAACGAAACCCCAATATATCAACAAAAGATAATGAACTTCAACAAAACCAATAGCGGCATAGGTATATCATATCAAAGTGAAGTAACAGCACAGGTTCAACAATCGGAAATTTCATATCAAAATGTATAATGTAAATCAACAGTAACCAAGGAAGCAAAATGTTAACATATTTATAGCACTTTGATGACCAAAGAAAAACAACAAAGAGAATTATTTTTCAAGATCTTGATCGAGACGAGGCAAATTAAAAAATAAAACGACAGATAAACTAGATCTCACCACAGTAACTAAATGCAACGAACGTGTAACATCTTAAATTTTGGGCTAGTAGTTTCGGGTTTACCCTATAACACCCCTAACCCGTACCCGACTCGGATACGAATACGAGGTGTTACATTGACTTTTCAAAACGTTTACTCTTAGAAAGTCGTGGAAAATTTAAATTTCCATTAAAATAAAAGTGAAATAATTTACATAAGTATAATCAAAATTAATTACAAAATCGATCAGAGCATATGTGATTTAAACTTTGATTACATGCCAATAATATTAATATAAAATGACATACTGTTTGAATCACTTCTGATCTAATCTTCTGTAAAAGATATGTTGCCTTGATAGATCCTGACTCTAATCTTCCTGTTTCTTGGTACCTACGTATGAAACACTCACACACTAAGTCACAGACTTATTGAGGCATATAATACAATAATGCAATATTTAAGTCATGAACATGCAATCCAATAATCACAGTATATAATCACAATCCTCATATATCTACTCAACTATAACATATATGATCATGCATTAATAAATAATAATATATCATCTTATAAGAAAGTTAATTCTTTTTATATCTTTTATGTGCTCGAGTACATTACTGAGAACTTAAGATATGTGAGTACATTGAGGTTGTGCACAAATGTTGTCACCACAGCTCGTATAAATTTGCACTGAGTGCCATATAAAATTGTCCCGAATGACCTTATATATGTCCCGAAGGACCTCGTAAAACCCTCGACTCTTGGCATGCCAATTATACCCACAACTCTCATATCACATAACATGGGCTTTACCGCTTATATGTTTCACATGTTCACATAGTCATCCAAATCATCACATATACATGTACTCATATAACTCATATCATATGTGCATATAATCACTTATATAATATCATATAGCTTATTTTTTGTTCTCTTATGTTTACATGGATCACATAACATATATCATAACATATAACACTGATGCATGTACTCATAATAATCATGAAATCTATATGTTTATAACTATAGAACCATGAAATCAACATAGGAAATAGACTTATCACAAGTCTGATTTCCACAAAATACTATATAATATAGTATGCACTCACCTTAACCTCACATTGTCCAATCAACTGCTATAACTTGTTTTCTCTCTCGATCGATCTTACTCTTTAACTGTTCCGGAACTTGCTTATGTTCAATACCTACACAAATGTACATTTGATACGAATATTAGAATTCTAGACATTTTGAATCAATCGTTAATAACCTAAGTTAAAAATACTTAATTCACATTTTTACTTTGAATAGTATCGGTACCCCAAGGTATGGTACCAATACTTCCCTTACTATGGTATCGATACTATGCTGCAGTATCGATACCTTATTCCGATTCTGGAATTCCCTTTTAAAAATGGTATAAGTACTATTGGTATCGATACTACTCCTTCGGTATTGATATCCCTTGAATAACTTATCCATTTTTAGCTTATGGTATCAATATTGTTCATACAGTATCGGTACCCTTACCCCAAATATCATACATTTATCTTTGAAAGTATCAATACTGTATGAACAATACCGATACCCCTTGCCC